TAAGTCTTCGTGAAAGTCATGCTTCTGATTTCTTAAACCAACAGAGCTCAACAGAATGTTATTTCTATATCTCTATTTTGTATTTTAGGTAGTCTCTACTTTCGTGTTCATTAATACTTCAGCTTTTGTTTCCTATGTAATAAGGTGCATTTTTCTGTTGTTGCTTTCTTCTTCTTGATTTTTTGCATTCCCTGTGATCGGGGAATGAAAATACTGTTGTTCTTTCAATTGATTTCCTTTCTGTGTCTGCTGCTTTTCAGACATGGACTCTGTCCTTGTGAGAGAGTTACAGCAACAGTAGAGAAAGGCTTTTTTTTTTCTCACTTCTTGGAACTTCATGTGCTTATTTTTCTGTTTAAACGGTTACCTTTTATACCTCTCTACATTATCCATGGAAAAAGATTTTTCCAATAAAACTGGTGTGTCATCTGCATCTTTACATGGGTTCTATTGGTTTGAAGAGATGTATTGTGCTATATATACTCTGGAGAACAGTTTTATTATTTCGTTCATTCTGAAGGTTAATGAGACAAAAATGTTCCCCTTATTTTCCCATCTGATTCTGAAATGCAGCACAGTTTGAGGAAAAACCTAACTGTAAAGCCAACATTTGGATTCTTGTTAATCATTCCTAGAAGTTTGAAATACATTTTCTTGAGCATTGACCTTATGTGAATCTCTTACAGAGTGGCATCAGGCAGTCTATTATCTGCTTGGTCTAAATAGGCAGCAATTAGGCAAACTGTTATTGTTTCCACTTTATAGGCCCCAGAGATTCATGGGCAAAGATGTGGATCTCCAGATAATGGAAAAGTTGCAAGTTCAAACTGAATCATAGCTAGTGGAGTGTGAAGAATTGCATTTTTTTGTGATTGGTATGCAAGAAAAAAAACCAGCACCTAAAAACTCCCAATTTATGGTTAACATGAAATTAATTTTTTTAAAATTTCTTTTCAAGACAAAACACCACAAGAAATTATTTGTTTTCCATTCACAAAGCTTTGAATTCAAGCTATTCTCTGCTCTAGTGTTTCTTTAAATAAAACATTTCAAAATAAAGTGTAATGCACTTCAGAAAATATAATATGACTTCTCTAGTGGGCTATATATTTGTTAGATTGAGAACACTTCTTTCAGTATTGATGTTACTATTAAAATATGATGTCAAGAAGATATCAAACAGAAATCTGTCAGAATCAGAGAATCATAGAATGGTTTGGATTGGGAGGGACGTAGTTACAGATCATCTAGTTCTAGCCCCCTCACCATGGACAGGGGATCCTACACAGTAGATCAGGTTGCTCAGGGCCCCATTTAGCCTGGCCTTGGACAATTCCAGGGATGGATCATCCAGAAGTTCTCTGCACAACCTGTTCTGGTGTCTCACCACCCTTTCAGAAAAGAATTTCATCCTAACATCTAATTTAAATCTCTTATATTTTAGTTTAAAAATCTTCCCCCTTGTCCTGTCATTATCTGCCTATGTAAAAAGTCCCTCTTTTATTATAAGCCTCCTTGAAGTACTGGAAGGCTGCAGTAAGGACTCCCCAGAGCCTAACAAGAGGATTTCGGAAGTACTGAAACACAGCTATCTTTTCCCTTTTCATAGTTTAAGTCGGTCTCGCCAGCTGACCTTCTGATTAGCCCACAGCTGTCAGCACCATGTTGTTCACTCGGGATGTGCTGATTCAGCTTTGTGAAATTCAACTTGAGAATTCACAAGAAAAAAAAAGGAATAGTCTTGAATAATAAAAAGTTTTAATTTTAATTTCATCTGCTATGAATTCATTTTCCCAAGTTGGCCAAAACCCATTCTCTGTAAAGAACCAGTCCTTAATACTTGTTTTCATCATTTGTGGATCTTCTCTGTTCCCTTTGCTCTAGTGAAAGGAGATACTTCATAATCTACAGTATATACACTTGCAGTATTTCCCTTTGGAATATGGATCACAGGCATTAATTTGGATCAACAGATAAGACAAGACAATATCTCTAGAATCATTAATAATAGATATTCTCAAAAGAATGTTTCCTGAGGCATAAAACAAATACATGAAGAAAATGAAAGTGACATTGACATAAACAATTGTATCTTAGATTTGTGTTACAATAGTAACCTAAGGCAAAACCTAAACATTTACAGAAATAGTTTGAATTGTACCTCTTTTCTTAAAGAAAAATCTGAAGACGTAGCCCATCAATTGTCTAAGTAATGGAGTTCTATTTTCTATGAAAAGCATTAATCACCCAACTGGTATTATTTGGAACTGCTGACAGATATTCCCATCCAGTTCTCTCCACAATTAAGATATGATCACAACATTACAAAACTGATGTTTTGGCATTCCATATCTATTATTAGTCAGTGGCTTCCATATCAAATCTACACAGTGTGCAAATCAAAGGATATTGTTTCCTTCTGTCATCTCTGAAAAGTTATACTGGGATCTGCCAATTAAGCTTTCACGTGACTATTATCTATAACATCATCAACAGTAGTGATGTTCAATTTTCCAAAGTTTGCTTTTGATAAAGAGATGCAAGAAAGCTAAGATGCAACATGTTCACCTGCCCTTCTAAAATGAAAACTTTTATGAAGTGAAATCCAGAAATACACTGTTGCTATGGCCGTATTGATGTATAATTACCCAAAGTGCAAATTTTACATCTTTCTTTGAAGTATGTAGTTATTGACATTGTTGGAGAGAGAATAGTAGATGAGATGAAGCTCTATTTTGTTTCAGAGCTAACCACATACCCTCCAGCCTGAAAAAAGAACTGAAAAGGAACCTATACTTTTTTAAAAATCAATTGTTTTAAACCAGGCATCTAAATGTGTACAGCAGTCAAAATCAAGCAAGAGTGGTTGAAAAAGGTTGTGGTGCTGTGGGTGAATTGGCAAGCAGCCTTTGCCATCCCTCTTATTCTCTCTTATACAACATCCCCTCAGTGTGACTGTAGCAGGGACTGTGTACTGAATCAGGAATGGATGCAAGCTTTAAAAGAGAAAAACAAACCCAAAAAACTGAGAAGGATAGTTGATGGGGAGAAAAAAAAAAAGGCAGGACAGGGTCTGCTTGAGCAAGTAAACCTGTCAGAAAAGATCCTCATTAAAACAGGATGTGACTGATTGGCAGTTTCTTAGGGGTTTCTCAAGGTTGTGGGTATTTTCATACATACCTTTTTTGCTTTTTTAATTCTCACTGTAACTGAGCAAATCACTTTTGAGCTCCTCATTTGCCTAGGTTATTAATTTCATTATTAATTTCTTGTAGGTTATTAAATTCTTTAGTTTTATGCAGTATCCTTAGTTGAAGAAGTTTTGAGTGACAGCCATGTTTTGGCTTTTGTGTTAATGAATTAAATTATTAAGCTATTTAAATGGATCTTGTTAAAATGCTATGGGCCACAAGTTGTAAAAAAAAAAAAGTGACCTTTAATGTCAACATAATGTTTTAAGGCTGAAATCTAATAACTGCTTTGATTGACTATTAAGACTGCAGCATATTTGCTCTGACAAATCTCTGCTGGCTGATTACTGCTTCACTCAGGAGAGAATCTGTTATTAAATATTCAATTAAAAAAACAAAACCCCAAAAAATCAACAGATTTTTCTCATTTAGAAATGCATTGCATAAGAAAGGTAGGGTGGAGGGAAAAGTACTGAGAAATAATGCAAGAGAATGAAGGCCACTAAACAGAAAAGAGACCAGAGTAGAAAAAGTGATAGAAGAGAGAGTGGGATAATAACAAGGATATAAACATCATTAAAATATCTGTAAAGGAATCAAAAGTGCATGTAATTATTGCAAATACAAACTACTAATTTTAAATTGTTGTGTAAATAATGATACAAATGCTTCAGAATTCTCTTTCTGTTCCTTCCAAATGTAATCAACAGCCTGTCTTGACATTTCACGGCAGAGATAGCCAACCTAATGATGCTGCAAAGAGTTAGAAAATTAATTTCTTGAGGGAAATTCAAACTGTTTACTGTGTATTGTATGTGGTTCATTCATGACACTAGGGAACTAAGTGTGGATCTCCAGAAGGTATCGCCCAATAAAGAACAGTTTTTGTTGCAAAGTGTGTTGTGGAAAGATCAATACAAGTTCTTTTTGAAAGCACTTCATTAATGCTAGGTCTTGTAAAATCTCTGTAATTTCTAAACAAAATGTGAATTGTATTCTGATTTATCTTTGATAAACCTCTCATAAGATCCTTATTCACCCCACTATTTTCTAAGACACAAGGTCTGGAAAGACTATCTGAGAATCACCTCTGATGAGAACTGAGAAAGAGGAAGAGCTTATGTATATGTGAGACCATAAAGTGGCCTCATTTTGGGCTAAAATTGCTAGCGGTCCTTTTATTTTATCAGCAAAGTCTATAGCAGTCATGATGTCTTCCACAGGCTTTCTCTACTCCTAAAGTCAACAGATAAATGTCATTTTTGGAAAGAATAGGAAACTCATACTGAGTCTACATCTAAAATCAGATTTAAGCTAAAAATTACATTAGAGAGAAGAAATGAGAATCAGGCTTCATCAGTAGCATCATACTTTGGAGTGGCTTGTTCATGAACTCTTTGTGATCATCAAATTTGACCCTCAATTGCTACATGGAGAGTGTGTATCAGTATTATCTGTGCAAATGCCTACTAAGTGTCAAATATTCTTAGTGCTTGATTTACTAGTGCTCCCTCTGGAGTTTTTTTTCTTTGTTCCAGTAAATCAGACTTATTTAGATCTGCTAGCTCTAGTCCACCATTTCTTTGTTGGATGTTTAGAATTTGTAATGTTGTGATCTTTTTGCCAATGCAAGTAATCCTAATTCCAGCAATTTATACTTGTCACTTTGCTTTAAACTCCATTACCGCCCACTGAAATTCTGCACAAAATGGCTTGGAGACCATTGAACAAATAACAAATTGGAGATAGAGGGACTTTGTCACTTATTGCCAATTATTTATTTATTGGGATTTTGGCTTTGTGTTGCAGAACTGTGACCTGGCTCAGCAGAGCATTGTTCATATCGTCCAGAGTCCACAGAAGAACACTCAGAATAAGGAGGAGACAGAAGATAACTGTGCTGGAGGTACTCAAAAAACCTTGGAAAGAGAACCTGAAAGTCTAACTCGCATAGATCTCAGTACCAGCATCCTCCCCTCAACATCTGCAGGGTTGGCTGTTATTCTGGATCCTGGGAAAAACAGTGTTTCTCTTCCCTCTGAAAAATCAGGTAATACAGTAATTGAATACATTTAGATACATGGATCCAAACATTTGTCTGTTTCTTTCTTAGGGTGAACAATTCTTGTTCTATACAACAGGGGAAAAAAACCCACCGCAATATACAGTAATATTAACAGGTGATAAGCATCTAATGTGTCTTCTAGCAAAATAATTTTGCTTTGTGGATAAAATGAGAGATTTCTTGCGTTGTTCCTCTCTCTAACTTGTATTATGTTAATATTTTTACAAATTATTATAAGCTGGCAAAATTCCCAGAGGTCTATGAGGCAAAAAATTGTCTCTGTAAATTTTTCATTACAGAAGTTTCCTCAACTAGAGTGTTGGGTAGCTTATGCATTGCAAACGTGTTTATTTCTCAATGTGTTATGATGTCTTTGTACCCATACATTTCGTAAAAAGATACTTACAATAGATTTATTATTTATTAAAACATAGCTGGCACAAAACATGAAGATGATCCATACTATAGATTTTAGTATTTCTTCATCCACCACATTATTACTGAAAATATCTTCATCATGAAAAATCATCTGAGGAACAAGTTAAGTTATTGCAAAATGGGTTGCACTGTATTATTTAAAGTTGTTCATGACAGAGAAGCTTAAGTCAGAAGCAAATATAAGAATCCATTAGCAATTACATGAATCTTCTCAGAGAAACCCCTTCCTCACACAGAGTCTGGCTCACCCTTACTGACAACTGTGTTGTCCCCAATGAACATACATCATTCTGTGCAATAGCAGATTCTGTTGTGATTTATTTTAATAGTCCATCAGAGATGTCTTTTTAGAAAGAACAGTACACAAATAACCTTTTAACACAATACAGAAGATAATACCAAACATATAGATCCAGAGGACAGAAAATAAATTGTGAATATGACAGAGATACCTCTGTGACTAACCTGACCACAGAAATCATCCTACTTAACAGAATAGCTACTAAAAATGTTAAAATAACTTCTAGAGAATTTATTAAGTAACTCATGCAGAAAATATACAATCCATGGGAGGGTCACAGAAGTATTCCACAACTGACTTGGTCAACCTCTCACTGCCATCTAATGATGAATGTGTACAGTTTAGAAGCAAATTAGTACCCAGCTTAATGATCCACATCTCCCAGTCTGAATGAGTAATGAGGTGAGGGGCACGTGCCGATTTAAATCTGGTAAACTAGGGGCATGACTTCAGCCAGGGCTTACTATCAGAAGCAAGGCAATGGTGTGAACTTTTTAGCATTAATCCTTATTTATTTTTTTCACTACTGTACCTGATATGTACATGGCTTTAATAGCTGTACTTGACGTTACAGAATAATGTAAAAATGTGTAAGGACTTTTAAAATTTGTCACCTGACATGTTTGTCCACAGACTACAAACTCTGTGAAGCCAAGCACAAACAGATAGGTGTCTTCTATTGCAGCAAATGTTTTCATGGCAGAATGACAGCTGAGCAAAACATGTGTTGATAATATATGTGGAAGAGTTTTATCTATGATTAAGTTATAATAGTTTTTTCTCATGAGAAAAAGAAAAAGAGCCACTCTAATGCCTGATAGTTCCGTCTGGAAGGATGTTAATAATAATTACTTTTTAAGGGCCTGTTATCTTCTTTGATTGTTTTGATTCTCATTATGAAAACTTGTAATTTTATCTGTTTCACTGCACCTCTTTTGTTCAATATGGGGGACTTTGATGGTTTCAGTTATCATGGATTTGGGGTGAATTAATTGGTAGTAACATAAATCTGGGTTAATAATAATCCAGCAAGGAGGAAAAAAACCAAAAAGAAAAAGAAAGAAACATTATTCCAGAGATCAGTTTTCCTGTCAACTTTGCTCTGTAGCAAGGATTTCCATTGGAATAGCTGAAATGAGTAACAGTAGTAGGAATGAGTGGCCGAAGAATGCAGGTACCATCACTGATGATTGAAATGACACTTATTAAGCTGTTATTTTAGGAGGTGGATAGATGTAGTGATCAATGTACAATAGCAACCTATACATTTGAACCAAGTATAATATTTTTTCTTCTGTGTGTGTGAGATACTACCTGATGAATAGATGTATAATTTAAATGTACAATTGAAAGGCAGAGGATTTATTAATTGATTAATTTATTATTGTTTAGTCTCACATGCTACACACATACACCTTAATTGCAGCAGTAAACACTGACAATTTCATGGCTTTCTGAAGCCTAAGTTATTTGTTTGTTGCCACAGGACACTGTTGTGGTTTAACCCAAGCCAGCAGTAGAGCACCAGTCAGTGCTCACTGCCCCACCAGCAGGATGGGGGAGAGAATCAGAAGGGTATAAGTTAGAAAAACTCATGGGTTGAAATAAAGAGAATTTAATAAGGAAAGCAAAAGCCACACACAAGCAAAGCAAATCAAGGAATTAATTCACTGCTTCCCATGTTCAGCTCTCTCCAGGACAGCAGGGCCCCATCACACATAACAGTTACTCAGGAAGGCAAACATCAAACACCATCACTGCAGATGTCCCCCCTTCCTCCTTCTTCCTTCCACTTTATATACTTGCATGATGACATATGGTATGGAATATCCCTCTGGTCACTTTGAGTCACCTGTCCTGGCTGTGTCTCCCATGCACCCCCAAATCCCTTGCCAGTGTGGCAGTATGGAAAGCTGAAAAGGCCTTGGCTGTGTGTAAGCTCTGCACAGCAATAGAAAAAATATCTCTATATTATCAACCCTGTGTTCTGCACAAATCCTAAACATAGCTCCATACTAGCCGCTGTGAAGAGAGTTAACTCCACTTCAGTCCAAACCAGCACAGATGCTGACACTGTGTTCCTGCCCTATTTTTGTTTTATTTGCCCTCTTTTGAATTCTGGGGAAAAAGGTTTATGGTAATTTTTGCATCTCAAAGGCTTCTCCCAGAAGCTTTTTCAGCATTTGACTACAAAAATAGTATTTTTGAAGTATTGACATGAAGGTCTGAAGGTCAAACTGTAAAATATTACCAGAAAATCCAGGAGAGAGGCAACTCTTGTTGTATTGTAATGCTATTATATAAGCAATATACGTAAGTAGCATAAACGGCTGCACTTGATGAAAAAAAGCCCTTATTGCTTGGCATCCTGTCTCCACTGAAGGGTATTATTTACTCCTTGCAGAAGAGTATAAGAGGGCATCCTCCTCCCACCTGACCCCCACTCTAGTGATGAGTAATCAGCTCTTGACTGACGTGGAGAAATATCTTAACTTGCATTGGGTTTTTAGAGTAGTGTGTGTTTCTCTATGAGAAATTCAGAAGTTTGAAAGGCATTAACAAGCTACAAAAAATATGAAAATGGATCTAAATAATCTCCGCATCAAAGATTTTCAGGTTTTCATTCTTTGCAGGCAAGTTAAAATAAATGCCCTTTTGGAGGGATTTTGTTTGTATGTTTGTAGTTGGAGTTTGTTGTGATGTTTTTTGGTTTTTTGTTTGGTTTGGTTTTGTGTGATTTCTAATAGACATGTGAAAAAATCTCAGCATGGGACTTACATCCTACCTCACCCCCTCCTAATTTACATCTGTACAATATCTGGGACCAAGCCCTATGGTAAACAAGATGTAAGCAAATAAAATGTGTTCCATAATAGTTGCATATCAGTAGATGCATGTAGGGGTTGAAGGGATAATTGTTGGACTTGGTGATCTTGGAGATCTTTTCCAACCCTAATAATTCTATGATTCTCTAATATCTGTCTGAGAAACAGTGAATCTGAAAAACTTAAAAGTTTGTATGGCTCATCAGCTGAACTTGGGAATGCAACATGATACTGGGTACAAGAAAACTAAAATAATCTTTGGAAGTATAAACAGAAAACATAGTGAAGTGGAGAGTATGGTTTTTTTTTTCTCTGCTTTTGACACTGGCATAACTAAAATTAATTTAGCACACTGTTCTGGTGTCTAAACTGTTAGAAGGTCCAGGAGAGCATTCATGAGAATCCTACAAAAGTGCAGGTCATGATTGGTTTATATTTGTTGGTGTAATCTTATGGCATCTGTGGGAATGGAAATTTGGTACCATGGGAGTTTTAGATCTTACCAGTTGCTTTAGGATTTAAGCTTTCATTGTCTAGAAAGTGCAAGTCAGCAATTATTAATGCCGCACATTGATTTTAACTTTCCAGGAAATCAACCACTGATGCAAGTTATCCTGGCTTATAAGAGTTCTTCATATTTGACCATTTGAAAATAATTTTCTTAAGCATATAACCTGGAAGTAATATGAATGATAATAGGCAGCAAGTCAGACTGCAGAATCCCATTGCTTCCCTTTCTCAATATGTTTATTAGCTACTGATGTCAAGGAAATTTGTAATTACCAAAAGAAACAAAAAAATACAAAAAAACCCCAGTCAAAAAACAAAACCAAAACCAAAATTTAGTTTGATAGCATCTGTTTTCTCTAAGCTAATATTAATGTTGCCACTTACTTAATTCCAAGTTTAATCTATTATCAACTGACTTATTATTTTGTCTGAAACAATTAGATGTGGTTATTCTTATGTTTTTTTCAACTTTTAAATCAATGCTCGTCTAGTCAGTTCCCAAAAATATCCTGGTGTTCTATAGCTCATCTTTTACAAATGCTTGCATGCAAAGTACCTCTGTTTTCCCTTATCATTCCATGTTCCTCTTTTCACAGAAGAGTAAACAAAGTACTAGTATATTCTGACTTAGGTGTGCAAAAGTACTAGTGACTTAGGTGTGCAAGCTGTAAATTTTAGCTAAAAGAGGGAGTGATTGTTTTCCACCTGGTTAGGGAATGCTTTACCAAAACTTAAATTATGTTAATACCTCTTGTCTTTACAAATAACACAAGTATGAGTTAGGGCAGGTCAAGCCATCATTACCAAAACCTCAGTATTGTCAGTGATGCATAAATTGATGAGATGGTTCCCATTCTATGTAAGAGTCTGATATATGAAAAAGACAGGAAAAAGCATTTAGAACAGAAACC